CGAAAAATACTCAAAATCTCGGTGTTTTTTTGTGAGAGTTACGAAAATTTCACGGTAGTTCGAATGAAGATAACTCTTTATCAGCCAACTATCTTGGCTTTGTAATATCCTTTTATAAAATACATATAAATATGTAAATGAAAAATATGATAATAAAAAATATGTATGTATATAAATAATCTACCTTCAAAACCAACAGCTAATATATAAGTGCTTGAGTATAAATCTGCCGAAGAACTTACCTTAGAACTTAGCTCTAAGTTACACCRAAAATATATAAATACCTTTTCAAAAGCAAAATAGTCAAAACTTCTTGCTGGAATTAATATATTTTGAGTTCCTGAAAAAAAATCGTGTTTTCAAACTAAAATTCCATATCTCACCTTTAYTTCCGTTAACCATCAAGAACGTGCATATTAGGGTTGTCATTGCATGTGAAATTRGCATTATTTCAATACAACAACAACTTAAATATTGGCCTTTACTATGAAAGTATGAAAAAAAAATCAAAAACAAAAATATGTACTTTCTGTCTGTTTATGCTGAGTYTGCTAAATCTACATAGGTCTCCGAACTCTTTCTAACCTCTTTAACCTTCCTTTATCAATTCTTGAAAACCAATTTCTTTGTATTTAAATACTGTAATGATTACCAACACAAATTRCCTAACTGTCCAACGAACCAAACCATCAATCAACTTAATTACGTAAAACCGCCCGACCTCGTGCACCTACTCCCCCAACCAACAACAATATTCACATCACAACAACAATAACAATAAATTCTTAATGCCTTAAACTGGTACAAAACTTTCCCAACCGCCCAAACCCACACACCGACAACCGAATGGCAAACGAATGGACGCTTTTTGTGCCACACACGCATCGGATGTGTGTGTTGAATGCGATGCGCGAAGCAGCCGGCAGCTGGTGGGAAGGGGAAAGTAGGCAAAGCGGGTCCAAAAAAGGTCKCCAAAACCGGCAAATACACTAAGCTCGGTATTGCAGTAAGTGCCCCACAGCAAAAACCACTTTTATCTGTATGTTTTGCTATAACGTTGCATATGCAACATTAGCGTTTTTTGTATGTGTTTACGCTGAGTTGAGCAATAGTTTTTGAATTTTGTCATTTCGTCAATTTATTGTCCATTTTTATAGCGACAACTCATYGAAAAACGTATGCTTTTTCACGCCAAATCGTCGAACACTCACCTGGCCATRCACACAAAATTGAAAAACATATTGCCACCTTGCCACATTGCCACATAATCAAACAAAGTCGCATAAAAACCTTCATTATTGGATTTAAATTTTGAAATGAATTTTGCTAAAAGTTATTAAGCATATCATGCATTCAGATTTATTGTGCTGCTGCCAAGCTCAGGTATTTGCCACAAATATTCATTAAAATAAAATTATAAAGAATCCGCATTTCGAACAACGATCAAAATACACAATGCATTCGCAGTCACATCAAATGCCATTTAATATTTATACACAACTATATGTGTGTATGTATGTATGGACATAAAAAACAGTTAATATAAAGAGCAGCGAAAAATTCATAAAAAGCAACACACGCTCAACATAATTGTCATTTGCGCTACAGTCACCGCCACCAACGCCGCCGCCGTCGCTGCCACATTCATCGCCATCAGCAATATATTTGTGTATGTATTCATTGCCATTCAAGCATTTTGTTGTTGCTATTGCATGTAGCAAACAATGCGAGGCCATAAATTGCCATATGCGGACGATGTGAGTGCCKGTCTTCGGGCGCAAACGGACGTAAGGACAAACACACACACACACTAACACACAGTTCTACATCTCCAAACACACTTTCGCTAAGGCTCGCAAAGCACTCTTATTGGTAACCATGAAATTCGTGTGTGTGTGTGTGTGACATCTTTCCCTCCGCTACACCATTCATTCCGGTTAAGCGCTTGCCATGCTGCCGTTATTCTTAAATATGAATCATTGCTGAATATCATGGCATTTCAGTTTCAGTTTACCATAACATCCGACTCAAATGACACTTGGAGAATGCAGTTATTTTTGCTTTTGCTATGAATATTTAAAGCCTTTGTTAACTTACTTTTATTAACATTTTAAATGCACACGCCACAGTGCGACAATGTTGTTTTATGATATGCAGCTGGAGACAAGAAATATTGCAGGCATATTTTGTAAACCAGAACTGTATCCAGACCGCTCTCATGGGATTCTTGGTTATCATAAAGTGCTTCTAATTATTTTATTTGAATTTAATTTAAGCTGATTTTAATATATTCATACCATTG